TGGGGTGGACTGCTAAGGAAAAAGGTACAATTGCAGCCCAAGAGGTGACCGCAAGTCTGTCACTAAAAAAAAAAAAAAAAAAAAAAGTGGTAAAGTGATAGGGTTTTTTCACTTTTGAATGAGTCAGTGTATTTCACAAATAAAAAGCAGGAGACCAGACAAAGTAACCCAAGTTCGTGGGGCTGTTGATTCGTCTGCTGCTGTGGTCCTTACCCACTTGTAGCTCCTTACCTGTGGAGATTCTGTTTAAGTGAATTCTCTGATTTAGGTAGGCACGATGATCTTGCAAGATCTGATATATAAAGGTCAGAAAAAGCAGAAACAAACCTCATCTTCCAATATATTTTTCAGCCTTTTAGGTGTGTGATCATTGTTTGCTAAGCACTTTGTCTTTATGTACCCACTGTGTTTGTTTGAATTAGATTCTAAAGCTTGCTTTGAGGCCATGTAGTACTACCAGCTAACACAAGAGGTCAGCAAACAATTAGCTGTTCAAACTTGGAAACGTTTGGAAAATACTTAATACATTAAAACTGCTAAAGATGAATTCAAGAACTATACAGGGAACTATATCCGATCTCCTGGGATAAACCATAATGGAAAAGACTATTAAAAAAAGAACGTGGGGCTCCCCTGGTGGCGCCAGTGGTTGAGAGTCCGCCCGCCGATGCAGAGGGCACGGGTTCATGCCCCGGTCCGGGAAGATCCCACATGCCGCGGAGCAGCTGGGCCCGTGAGCCACGGCCGCTGAGCCTGCGCGTCCGGAGCCTGTGCTCCGCAACCGGAGAGGCCACAACAGTGAGAGGCCCGCGTACCGCAAAAAAAAAACAACATGTATAACTGAGTCACTTTGCTGTGCAGAGATTAGCACAGCATTGTAAATCAACTATACTTCAATTTAAAAAAAAATACTGAGGTTACCTTGCTTTTTGTTGATGGATATTACTTTTTAAATGAAATTGAAAATCCCTGAGATTGTATCAGTGAACACTTTCTAATCTCAATTTCATGAAATAGTCTCTTACCCTATCTCTTATCAGCAGCCTTAGTTAAACTGTTTTAAAACAGTTCACTTTTTAAAAAGACCAAATGTCTCTTTCTTTAAAAGTTTTAATTAGGACCATTTAATTGAAGAGGCAATTTAGTAAAAAGTTTGTTTGCTGTTCAGATTTCATTTAACACTGTCTTGTTTTTTAGGTTACATTTCGGACAAGAATCTATCACTGTAATATTAACAGTCAAGGAGTTATTTGCTTGGACATATTGAAAGATAACTGGAGTCCAGCACTAACCATTTCTAAAGTCCTTCTTTCTATCTGCTCACTTCTTACAGACTGTAATCCTGGTAAGGTTAATAATTCTTTACCTTGTTTTATTCCTCCTCACCTGGAAAATGGTTATTTTCCACGTAAACTAAGATTTTCTAAAGATAAAGTTCAGATTTTATTTTTGAATGGGCTTTCAAGGGACAAAAACTCATTGCTTTTCAAAGCAAGTTCTTATCAAGAGTTCAGTCTACTAGGTGAAAAATGCAGCGGACTTCACCATTACTTGACGTGTTCTAGCAACAAGGTGTTATAAACTGAAGACTTAAAAAGATTGCCTTAGGTTTTTGCATCTTCATTCTCTGCCCTTTACTTTTTTTCCCTTTTTGCGTGTTTCCCATGCAGAAACGGCACGCACACTTGGGAATGTTGTCACCCACCCTCTGCCTGCGGGTCTGCTCAGCACCTGCCCACAACTGCTTACTGACGTGGCGTTGTTTCTCTGCTGCACACTTAGTGATTACCAGACTGTGGTTTCGTCTGGGCCTTAACTTCCTCTTATTAAAGACTTTTTTTCTAGATAAAGAAATATAAATTTAATTACTAAAGATTTTATTTAGGTTTCAGAGGAACACTGTACTTAATCGGAAGTACAGGTTCTGACCTGGCAGCTTTGGGTCTTTGCGGGTCAACAGAGTAGAGAGGTAAATAGCGTTCGCCTGCAGTAGCCCTGAGGCCTTCACAGCGCTCAGTGTCACAGGTGGTGCCATCGAGCAGGTGGTCCTGTGGGCACAGCTGGGTGTTGTTCACTGCAGCCTAGGGCCTTGCGCGTCCCGTGCCCCGACGCGCAGGAGCAACACCCTTCCCGTGGGGGTGGTGGTCGGGGGAGAGACGGAATGAACTAAGGAGACGGGGCTAGACCACTCTGTCTGGATCAGGATCCCCCTGCATCCATGCTGTTTTTTAAAGGCCAGGAGGAAAAGTATCCCAAATGGTGGAGTGGTTTGATCACAGCTACTCTGTCCATTTCCTTGCAAGCTGTCACTAGCTTATTTGCTGAAACTTAACAATGTTCCTTTCCCTTCTTCGAAGTAACGTACATTCTTTTCTTCCAGCCGACCCCTTGGTGGGAAGTATTGCCACTCAGTATATGACCAACAGAGCAGAACATGACAGAATGGCCAGACAGTGGACCAAGAGATACGCTACATAAATTGGGTTGTCACAATTCTCTACATTCTTTGTCACAGAGAGAGCTGCTTATGATTTTGAAGGGGTGGGGGAGGGTGGGCGTTGGTGAAGAGTAGGGTATTTCTATAACAGATATTATTCAGTCTTATTTCCTAAGATTTTGTTGTAACTTAAGGTATCTTGCTACAGTAGACAGAATTGGTAATAGCAACTTTTAAAACCGTCATTAGTTCTGCAGTATGAGCTGAAATGCAGTACAGAGAAGAATAGACGTTTGGGTTCAGTTGCTTGTAGTCTGTAAATCTGAAACAGCTTAATTTGTACAGGTTACACACCTGGCCATTTATGTAAAGTCTTTCCAAGACTACAGTCTTTTGTTTTAAAAAATTGGAATTTGTTTTCCCTTCTTGGAGGGGAACAGTGATATTTAACAGCTTTTAGAGACTGTCATCTCATATATACAATGGACACATGGCTATAAGACACCATATAGGAAATATGAGTAGTTATGTACTTTATTTTATATGCCAGTCTACTTTCTTGTGAAAAGATAGAGGTTGAATCAGGACTCGTGAAAACCTGTAGTAAAATACCTTAAGCTGTTAACTGTAAGGCGTGGAATAGGAGTTGCTCAGTGGATTGGTTCTATGTTGTGGACTGCCTAAGTCTGCATTTGTTACTGTGCTAATAAACAATATTAAAACCACCGCCTAACGCTGCTGTATTCATTTACTTCCTTTTGCCTTTTTTGTAGTTTCTTTCTTCTTGACAGATCTTTGCTACTCAAACAGCCTAGAGGTAATGCAGACTGTGCGCGCTGGTGTTGTCTACCCAGCACGTATGTTAGGATTGATACGTTACTCTGGATTTATCCAACAGCCTTGCAAGATAGGTGCCTTAGGGAAGGTTAGATAATCTAACTCATGATCTTCCAAAGGCAGAGTTCCGCTGTATCTTCGTCAAAGCATTTTCCAACTTGGAAGCGCTGTGGTGGTAAGTGTGTGCGTGAGAAGTGGGCTCTCATGGAGAAACACCCCCGCCACAGTGGAGGGAGCCTGGCGGGACCTAGGTGCACACACCTGCTCCAGAGAAGCTCGTCCAGGGCCCAGGGCGGAGGTACCTGCACTCTCATGACGCATTTAAAAAGAACGCGGTCACTCTGTGTACTAACGGACCTAAGCTGCATTCAGCAGACGAGCAAACTGCAGGATCTATTATATTATTTTTAAAAAACTGTAAAAGTATTTATCCATCTATGTAAAAAAAAAAAAAAAAGAAAAAGCAACAAAAAAAAGCTAGAAGCCCAACACCGGGAGAAAAGGCAGGAAATGACCTGACCATATCTGAGTGACAATTGTTTTACCCAAAGAAACATGATGAGAAATTTTAAATAATTCTAAATCGGCTAGTGCGGCTGCCACGTAAGTTAGTTTTCTATCTTTATATACAGTAGTTCTTGGCTTGCACTCACTGAACTGAGCCAATTGAGTTTACTTTTTTTTTTTTTTGTGGGAGGGGGGCCGCACTGGGTCTTCATTGCTGCGCGTGGGCTTTCTCTAGCTGTGCCGAGCGGGGGCTACTCTACTCTTCGTTGTGGTGCGCGGGCTTCTCACTGCGGTGGCTTCTCCTGTTGCGGAGCACGGGCTCTAGGCGTGCGGCCTTCAGTAGTTGTGGCTCACGGGCTTCAGTAGTTGTGGAACATGGGCTCAGTAGTTGTGGCCCACGGGCTCTAGAGTGCAGGCTCGGTAGCTGTGGCGCACGGGCCTAGTTGCTCCGCGGCATGTGGGATCTTCCCGGACCAGGGCTCGAACCCGTGTCCCCTGCATTGGCAGGAGGATTCTTCACCACCACGCCCCCAGGGAAGTCCCACCAAGTGAGTGAGTTTGAATTCACTGAACCGCGCCTTAAAAGTAGTCAAGATACTGCTATTTACTAGACGTTTTAACATTTCTTTGCTGGACAGCTTATCTCATACTTTATATTGAAAACTAATAGTGCACTGTTTTCACGGTCAAAACCACTAAGTAGCTTGCTTCCGACTTTACAGTTAGTTAACAGTATTGTCAACTTGCTCAACATAGTCAGCCCTGCTACTCAGATCTTGCCAAAATCTTCAGAGAACCATAGCACAAACTCAGATACCTAACTAACTTGAAGACGACTCCAGAAGGTATGGTATGCCTTGTGGGAAATGGAAGCTTCACTGTCCGTAGGTGTTCAGCAGTTTCCTACAGAAGGAAGCACCAGCTGGAACGTATTTACACCACCTACTCAATTCATGCTAAACATAATTTGAACAAAGCTAAATCACAGGTTTAGCAAGATCCCTACCAGATAAAATTTAGCTTAACTTAGTACCCAAATGTTTACTGTTTGTGATCCAATTTGGACACACAGAAAATGTCCTTTCATAATCCTAGACCTTAGATGATGAGTGAACTTTTCAAAAACAAAATTAACATTTGAGCGAGTAAGTCTGCATAAAGTTACACAGAATGACAGCTTCTGAGACGGGTTAAAGGTGAGGGGAGCTACTCACAGGTACACGTGCATACCACCCAAATTTTATTTTATTCTTTTGGCAAATGCAACATAATACAGATAACAAAGGTGCTAATTTTAGGGACAAGTCTGAAACAAGGAGAACGCAAATATATTATTACTTCATGTCAGGGAACAGTAACTGAATCATAACTGGAAGTGCATTAAATTACTTCCCTAGGGTCTTCCTAAGGACCAAAGGTAGACAGAAATGGCCTGTTTTACATAAGTTCACAGACACCTCGAGGCAGTCACCATTCAAGGGACAGTTGTGTACCCTAGGGTTTAGTTCTCAGAGCTGGAGTTGCCTTTGCTTCTCCTCCCAGGCAGAGGGAAGCTCGGTTTGCTCTGGGGCTGGGAGAGTTTGCGGGCTAGCAGGGTGAAGGGCTCGATCAGGGTCTTGCGGTCTGTGACCGTCACCTCCCACAGATGCACCTTCTCACTCCTGGCCCACCGCTGTGCCACTTCGGCGTCCACTTGTCTCTGCTCAGAAAGGTCAGTTTTGTTTCCTAACACGACAATGGCCACCTGAAAGAAACGGGTAAAAAAGATCACACTTTGCTAGACAAAACGGAGGAAGAAAACTGTCCCATTTAACAAAGTGCTTCGTCCAAACTGATCCTCAGGCGTGAGGCTGAAGGGTAAAGGGCATTACCTCACCCCTCCTCGCTTGGTGTATCTCCTTAAAAACGCAGATGCTCTACAGGCTGCTGACTATGCAACAGCTGAAGTTACTCAACTCCGGGTACGGCTGGAAGACAGACTTGGGGAAATCACTATCGAGGGTACAGATAACAGTTTGACTGAGGTGTGTCTACATTTCAGTTTAGCTCTACCTGCTGTCTGGGAAACCTGCGATACGTTACTTGAAGATACAACCACGGAACTTCTGGAGCCGTGAGAGGTCTGCAGCCCTGGGGCCTGAGTTCCTTGAGAACGGGAATTGTTCTGTTCACATCACTCCTAAACGTAGCAAAGCACCTGACACAAGCACTAAATATGTGTTGAACGTAGCACCCAATAGGTACATTTTACCCTAAATGCAAGGCAATCGATCCTTCCCTCGAAGTGGAGCGCTCGCTACCCCCAGGCACTGTTTCAGGCGACCAGAAGGGCGGTCACAGTCCGCGCGAGGGGAGACGAGTGGTGACCTCCAGACGCTGAGAGAGTGCCTGGAAAGGCACCTAAAGCAGGAGGCCGGGGAGGTGGAGGGGGGCTCCTCTGCGCCACGGCCGGGCTCCCGCCTTCGAGACGTGCGCGCGCTCCGATGGGAGGACGGAGCGGGATGGAGCGGCACGGAGCGGCAGGCAGGGCTCTCCTCCGTCTCTCAGCAGGAGCCAGCCCTCCCGTTGCCCCCCACCACCCACCCCGTCTCTGCGGCGAAGGTTCCCTTCCCCTCTGGCCTGGCTGTGCGTGCTCGCCTGGCCGCCCGCAGGGCACAGCGGGGGAGGTGTCCTAGGCTCGGGGCCACCTCCAACGCGGTCCCTTCCTAGAAACCCTCAGGCCGAGGGCTGCTGCTTCTGCCTTGCGCCCCCTGCCCCCTGCTCCCCGGCCCGGCTGTTGCTGCCCATCCCAGCGCTGGCCCGTGGTCACCCCACACGCTACTCCCGTCATACTGGTGGTGATTTCAGCAGCCCTGGGGGTGACCCGATAACCTCATCCCTCAGCTCCTTGACTTCAGAGATCCTAACTGCCCTCCTGACCTCAACCACTCGCTCCCACGAACCAGGACAACCACTCTCCTCTCTGACCTTGAGTGCGGGAATCCCGCTCAGCCCGCTGCCTTCCTGGTTCATCCCCCGCACCCCTCTGCAGCAATCCCGCAAGCACCGCAGGGACCCACGAGCCCCAGCGCTACCACCTCTGTCTCGGTCCTGCAACCCCGCTGCTGCCCTCGGCGCTCCGCGCGCCGAGCTTCTCCTCGTTCGCTCCCTCGCCATCGTCATCACGCCGTATGCCCCCGCCGCCACCTCGGTTAAGTTGAACTCTTAACTGTACCTTTTGCCGACACCATTTACCGAACGTGGCGGGAGAAAACACAACCCCGCTGGCCGGTCCCGGCTCGTAACCACCGACCTCCAGCGCGCTGCTGTTCTCCAGCAAACACATCACGTTCCCGCCACTTCCCCTGGAAGGACAGCATCTCCTACCTTGGTCCTCCTCCAACCTCCACCGTTCCCTCTGCCTTCCCCGTCTCACCCTCAGCTGATGTCCACACTACGTCAGCAAGAAGACAGGAGCAACTAGAAGGGAACTGTCAGGTGCTTCCACCGCCACGTCTACCAGCCCCACGGTCCTCTAAGCCCATGTCCCCACCCTCTTCAACCTGGACAAGGTGTCACTCCATCGGCTATCCCCTCACCTGCGTCTCTCCGCTGAATCATCCCACTGCGTACAACCATCTCTCTCATCTGAAAAACAAAACCCTCTGATACATCCTTCTCCAGCTCCTCTCTGTTCCCCTTTTAGGGGACAATATATTTACCCTTTGACTCAAAACTCTTTCAAAGAGCTATGTTTGCTGTGCTCAACTCTCTCACATCCAGTCCATCAGACTCTGTCTCACCGTTTCACTAAAACTGTCGTCGTTGAGATGTCCCAAGTTACTAAAGCTGGCCACCTCTCGGCTCTTTTGATCTGCCTTTAGTATCTGACATAGCTTGGTCACTTCCTACCTTTTAAAGTGCCGACTTTACTTGCCTTCTGGGTCACCCTTATCTCTTGGTGCTCCTCGTACTTCAAAGGCCACTTTGTAGACTCCTTTGCTGCCTTCTCACTTCTCCAGCCGGTAAATGTCAAAGTGCTCTAGAGCGAGAGCATCTGAACTAAACTCTGCTTCTCACCTTGTCCCTCAAGGTGAAAGTCAACAGTGATTTTTTTTTTTTTTTTTTTTGGCCGCACAGCATGCGGGATCTTAGTTCCCCAACCAGGGATCAAACATACGCCCCCTATAGTGGAAGTGTGGAGTCTTAACCACTGGACCACCAGGGAAGTCCCAGAGTGATCATTTTAAAACAAAACAAAAGATGAGACTTCCTGAGAGAGTGGCATGGACATACATACACTACCAAATGTAAAATAGATAGCTAATGGGAAGCAGCCGCATAGCACAGGGAGATCAGCTCGGTGCTTTGTGACCACCTAGAGGGGTGGGATAGGGAGGGTGGGAGGGAGACGCAAGAGGGAGGGGATATGGGGATATATGTACACGTATAACTGATTCACTTAGTTATAAAGCAGAAACTAACACCATTGTAAAGCAATTATACTCCAATGCAGGGGGCCTGGGTTCAATCCCTGGTCAGGGAACTAGATCCCACATGCATGCCGCAACTAAGGAGCCCGCCTGCAGCAACTAAGACTTGGTGCAACCAAATAAATATTAAAATAATAATAATAATAAAAATAAGTCAAAAGAGGTTCAACTTCGTTCACATTAAGGACAAATGAAACTATGAAAATACCATTTCACCCAGAAGAGTCACAAAATCCAAAAATTTAACCACACATTGTTGTCAGGACTGAAGAAACAGGCATTTTCATACCATTCCTATGGACAGTAACTTGTCACTATATTTACCTTGAACTCAAGAACCTAACTTCTGCTGGTTGATCTTTCAACTCTACGTTAAAATGTACAAAATAACAAATGTCTAAGATCCTTCACTGCAGCATAGTTCATGATAGCAAATGACCAGAGAAAACCTAAGTCTCCATCAATCTGAGACTGGTTAAATAAGTACGATACATCTACAGCCACACAGTGAATACTAGGCATCAGTTAAAAAAAAAAAAAAAAAGGAATCTGAGTACTGCTATGGAAAGAACTCCAAGATATATTACATGAAAAATACAAGGTGTCGGGGGCTTCCCTGGTGGCGCAGTGGTTGAGAATCTGCCTGCCAATGCAGGGGACACGGGTTCGAGCCCTGGTCTGGGAAGATCCCACATGCCGCGGAGCGGCTGGGGCCGTGAGCCACAACTACTGAGCCTGTGCGTCTGGAGCCTGTGCTCCGCAACAAGAGAGGCCGCGACAGTGAGAGGCCCGCGCACCGCGATGAAGAGTGGCCCCCGCTTGCCACTAGAGAAAGCCCTCGCACAGAAACGAAGACCCAACACAGCCAAAAATAAATAAATAAATTTATTTAAAAAAAAAAAATACAAGGTGTACAACAATATGCTACCTTTGGTACAACAGAGAGAAAAATAAGAAAAAATTATATACATTTCTGTTTGCTTGTATTTACACAGAGAAACTCTGGAAGGACGCCCCCAGACTAGGAAAGGGGTAAAACATTAAAACAGCATGCTTGAGGTACAGGACATAGACGGTTGAACCCAGGGGTGGGAACAAGTTCACTAGAGTCCTCTCTATAGATCATTTTCATTTTTGAACCATGTGCAACCACTACCCTTTCAATTTTTTAAAACAGACATGAAAACAAGTGCGTGCCACCCAAGCTAGACCCTGCCATCCCTTTGCCTCCCATCCCGAGGCGCCCTCAGCTCTGCCTCCTCCCAGCCCCGCCCGCTCTGGCCTCAATGCTGCTCCTGGCGCAACATGCTCCCGCCCCCGCCCCTGCTCAGCTGGGGCCTCCGCCTGGAGCAGCCTCCTCTAGACATCGGCTTGCGCCCTTCCCTCACACCCTTCAAATCTCTGCTGCGAGTCACCTCACCAGGCCTTCCCATATCACCTACAGAAAGCAGTGCCCTCACTCCCCACTCTGCTTGACTTTTCTTCCTACACTGCATCACTCCTCACAATACATACTTGTTCGTTGTCCCTCTCTCCCCCACCCCCCAGACAGAAGCTTTATGGCAACAGGGACTCTGTTCTATTCTCTACTGTATTCCCTCCGCCTCACCTAGAACAGTGCCAGGCCCATAGCCCAGTAAGCATCTGCTATCAAAACTACAATGAGGTAGCACCTCACACTGGTCAGAATGGCCATCATCAAAAAATCTACCAACAATAAGTGCTGGAGAACAGGGAACCCTCCTACACTCTTGGTGGGAATGGAAATTGATACAGCCACTATGGAGAACAGTATGGAGGTTCCTTAAAAAACTAAAAATAGAACTACGGTATGATCCCGCAATCTCACTCCTGGGTATATATCCGGAGAAAACTCTAATTCGAAAAAATACATGCACCCCAATGTTCACTGCAGCACTATGCACAGTAGCCAAAACCTGGAAACGACCTAAATGCCCATCAACAGATGAATGGATAAAGTAGACATGGTACATATATACAATGGAATATTACTCAGCCGTAAAAAGAAACAAAATAATGCCATCTGCAGCAACATGCATGCAGCTAGAGATTATCGTACTAAGTGAAGTTAACTCAGAGTAAGACAAATATCATATCACTTATATGTGGAATCTAAAGTATGACACAAGTGAATTTATCTATGAAACAGAAACAGACTCACATAGAGAACAGACTGGTGGTTGCCAAGGGGGAGGGGGTGGGGGAGGGATGGAGTGGGAGTTTGGGGTTAGCAGATGCGAACTATTATATACAGGATGGATAAACAACAAGGTCCTACTGTAGAGCACAGGGAACTATATTCAATATCCTGTGATAAACCAAAATGGAAAAGAATTTTTAAAAGTATATGCATGTATAACTGAATCATTTTGCTGTATGGCAGTAATTGACACAACATTGTAAATCAACTCTACTTCAATAAAAAAATTTAAAAATAAGCATTTGCTGAATGAATGTACTTCTTAAATCCCCATAATAACCATATGAGAAAGGTACTATTATTTTCCTTATTTTATAGATAAAGAAACTAAGGCAGAAAATTGAGAAGCAGAGCTAAGATTCAAGTATCAAGTACATGAGTTCACTGAACTATACTTCTAACTTTAGGGGGGCAGGGAGGGAAATCTGGGGGATTCTCCCCCAAATAATAACAGCACTTATCTGTCTCAGTGAGAAAGATGGGAAACAGGTAGAGAGGGGCCTTCATTACTTACCTTTTTATATCTTTTGAAGACTGAACCTTGTGAATGTTGTTATCTATTCACAAAGTAAGTTAGTATTCAAAATAATAAAAATAATTAAAATATCAACAACCCAGAGGTCCTTGAACAGGTGAGTGGTTAAATAAACTGCGGTACATACACACCATGGAAAACCACCCAGCAAGAAAAAGGAATGAACGACTCATACACGCAGTTACCTGGTTGACTCTCCAGAGAATTATGCTGAGTGAAAAAGGCCGATACCAAAAGGTTACAAACTGCGATTCCATTTACGTTAACACTCTTGAAATGACAAGGTTACAGAAATGGAGAACAGATAACGGTTAAGGAGGGAGAGGGGATGGGAGGGGAATACGTGAGGCCGTAAAAGGTCCCATGAGGGGTCCCTGCAGTGCTGGAAAGGGTCCCTCACTGTATAAACGTCAGTACCTCGGTTGTGTTATTTTACTATAGTTTTGCACAGTGTTATTAGCATTGGGGGAAACTGAGTTAGGGATCTCTATTCTTAAAATTGCATGTGAATCTACAATTACCTCAAAATTAAAAGTATGACATAAAAAATACATAAAAATTAGGTTAAGTAAAAATTAGGTTAAGAACACCTAGCCAGTGCTGTTAATTGGGTTCATGACACGGTTCCCTAAACCCTGAGGAGTCAGCCATGCCAAGACCCAGAGAAAGACCTGCGATGAGAGAGTTCCAGGCAGGGGAACGAGCCACTGAGAAGGACTTCACGGGGGGACAAAATTATCATGCTGGAAAAGCAGAAAGTTGACCACTGGAGTACAGTGACAGAGGAACAGAATGCTAAGGGTGAAAGGACAGCCATGGGCCAGATCATCTAAAACTTTATACAGACCATAGTAAGAATCTTATTTTCAAATGGTAAGTGGATAGAAGCCACTAATTATTTATTAGTTTTTTACACTTCTTTTCTTTTCTTTTTTTTTTTTTTAAGGCTAAGGACAATCCTATTTCTCCAAGAAGACAATAAAAAGCCCTAGGAAACAATGATCCCAAATAACGTGAAATGAACTATGTAGTATTTGCAATATGGAGTCATTAAAATTCAAGTTGTACATGGGAAGAAGCAAAGGCAGAAAGTCAAATGCTGGTCCTGGTTGAACTCAGTCCTGTATTTCCTGGGCTAGGGAAAAAATCATGAAGATTACAGATACTGTGAATACAATTTAATGCTTTTAAAATATTTTAATTGCCCAAAAGCCCATGCTACAATTTCAACATTATAATTCATAGCTGGCATTTTTTAACATACCCACTTACCTCTTTTTTGTCTTTGAACTTATCAATTTCTTTTTTCAGAAGCTCCACTCTTTGAAAGGATTCAAGGTTATTCACACTGTACACAAGAACAAAGCCATCAGCAAATGAAAAATAATGCTTTGGCAGCTCCACGCCTTCCTGTAGGCCTCTGGTGTCGTAAAGATGTAACTGTTCCTTGACTCCCCGATCCGTTTCCACTGAAGCCATATACACATCTTCCATTGTTTCACAGTCCTCCATTCCTGGGGTTAAAAAGGAATTCCTTTTACATATACAAATATCGAATTATTATGTTATTCACCTGAAACTAATACAATGTTACGTCAATTATGCCTCAATTAAAAAAAAAGCTTTTACTCTTTCTGGATAACTCAATACCAATTGTTGAGTACTTTCTCATCCTTTAGAAGGTGGCCTTCTAGGTTCCTTATTTACTACACATAAGAATCATATTTCCATTTACTAGCTTCTTTAAAATGAAAGGTAATTGTTACAGTAAATGAACAAAGTGCTTTTTAAGATTATTTCTTCCATATAGACATAAAAAAATAAAAATTTGGCAGTGAGATTTACTATTACTTATTTTTCAGAAGTAACTTACAAGAGTCAAAGAACTTACTATCTCAATTGGAGAATTAAGGGCTGATTTTTAAAGTACCTTCAACAACTAAGTGGCCCCATTTTCTTTTTTTTTTTTTTTTTTTTTTTGCGGTACGCGGGCCTCTCACTGTTGTGGCCTCTCCCGTTGGGGAGCTCAGGCTCCGGACGCGCAGGTTCAGCAGTCATGGCTCACAGGCCCAGCCGCGCCGCGGCATGTGGGATCTTCCCGGACCGGGGCACGAACCCGTGTCCCCTGCATCGGCAGGTGGACTCTCAACCATTGCGCCACCAGGGAAGCCCCCCATTTTCTTTTTCCTCAGCGCCAAGGACAGGACCTGGGTAAGTTTGATTTTTCTCTGTACAATTTCCACTGTTTCCAGGGTCTGTTTCAAGGACTCAGAAATGTACATGTCCAGTCTGGGTCTAGGCACCAGGCCTTAATTCCCAAGTACCTACTGTGCACTTTTGTGTGAATGTCCTCCAAGTCCTTCAAACTAACAGGACTTGTTATCTTTCCTGCCCCACCTGTCCCTCCTCCTTGCTTTTGTCCCTTGATCACCATCCACCTGGTCAGTCTTCAGCGTTCTCTTTGAACAAGGAAAGAGAATTTAGGACCACATTTAGGGTGAATGTGGTCCTAAATCAGCCACTCTACACCTGAGACATCTGCTCGATCCACTGCCTGCTTCCACTCCCCCTGGCTTGCTCCCTTCACCTGAATGACTGCAACAGCTCAGGAAACACCTGGTCAACACCTCATCCTTTCCAGGCTCTGCTGAAACGTCAGCTCTGTAGATTTTCTTCAGATTATCCACTTCCCTCCATCCTGCTCTTACTGTGTCTTGTACAGGTAATACCACTTCACCCTAAACTCGTTTCGTATCTGTCCCCTCCGGAGCTGCAGTGGAAACTCCTCGAGAGCCAGGACTGTGGCTAATCTCTCTTCGGAGCTCTGAGGACTAACGAATTGACTTACATACATAGAAAGTCCTTAGTAAACATCTGAATGAATGAATGAATGCGTGAGCTCATAACTGGTGCCCCAATTTCATTCCCCTGCTTGCCTGAATGATGAGCCCTGTAAAATCCATTTGACTTTGCTCCATTTCTGTGGGTTTTGTCTCTTCAACTCACCTAGAACTTCCTCAAGAGAAACAACACTTCTGTGTACACAGCAAGTATGCAACAACCATTTGTGGATGAGGGGATTAAGGTGAGAAGATGAACACTTTGAATGTTAATGACTAGTGCAAGAGGTAGTCTATGGAGACATAAACTTACTGGGCTTCGATTACAAAAAATTTAAAAGCAAAAACTACCAAGACTTTTGTCATGGTGGATGTTCTGTCCACCAAAAGCCAGTCTGGTTCCCTTCCTTCTCCCATTAAGCTTAGACCTTTTGAGATTTTCTCACCCTATACATCAAGTGAAGCTACGACTCTGCATCTCCTCTGCCACTCCACGCCACCTCTGTCCTAGCAGGAGACTAAGGCTGCACTTCTAGAAAGGGTAAAACAGGCTGCTGAGATGTGGGACAGAGGGTATGAGTCCGCAGTGAAAACAAGGGGCAACTCAGTGACGTGCCCCCTCTGCTCCCAAAACTTCGGCGGCCAACTCTTTATCCTCTAGGCGGAGGGATCTGGGGAATCTGGCCAGTGAAAATAGAGAAATCCTAAATATGCTAACCTCTGAGGTAAACCAACAAATGCCCCACCCAGGTCACCTTATAATGAAGCAAGGTCATGAACCCTATCCACATGCTTAGAGCTTTAAATTAGCTTTTCAGTTCTCCATTCTTAATTACAAGCAGACAACCAAGGATTACCAGATACCTGAGAAAGAGACCAAAATTCAGGAAAGAACACCTGAAAAGAAAAAGACTGTGCAAAGAAAAGAAAACAGACAAAGAAACTACCAAATATTATACTCAAAGAGATAAGATAGTGCATCCATGAAATAACAGGATACTAAGAAATGAAAACTCAGTAGAAGGGCTGAAAAATAAAGATGGGGAAAATTCCCACAGAGTGGAACAAAATGCTGAGAAATTTCAAACAGAAGAGAAACTTTAAAAATCAGAGGACGAGTCCAGAAGATCCAGCATCCAAAAAGAGAGCTCCAGAAAGAGAGAACACAGAAGAGAAATAATTCAGAGCTGAAGAACACACATTTCCACATTGAAAGGGAGTTCCAGAAAGAGAGAACACAGAAGAGAAATAATTCAGAGCTGAAGAACACACATCTCCATATTGAAAGGGCCCACCAGGTGCCCAGCACCGTGGATGAACACAGACTGATCCTATGATACACCACTGCGAATTTCAGAGCACTGGGGAGAGAGCCTACAAAAGCGTCCACATCCGAAGCAACAAGAATCACGATGGCTTCTGGCCTCTCAGAAGCACTGGAAGAAGATATTAGAATCTGGTAAACTGAAGGTACACATGGTCTATGAGCCTGCGATTTCATTCCTAGGTACATCCCCCCAGACCTTGTCCAAATCATAGCTGGGATACGTGTATAAGACTCTTCACAGCAGCACCATTTCTAATAGCCCCAAACTGGAAACAACCCAAATGTTCATCAAGATACAAGAGGTAAATAGGGACTTCCATGGCGGTCCAGTGGATAAGACGCCACGCTCCCAATGCAGGTGACACGGGTTTGATCCCTGGTCAGGGAACCAAGATCCCACATGCCACATGCCACACGGGGCGGGGGAAAAAAAAAAAGATACAAGAGGTAAATAAATGGAGGTATACTGAGACAATATACCTATCGTGAAAATTACACCACACCTACTTAAAACAGTATGGATGAGTCTTACAAATATAATGTTGAGAGAAAAAAAACAAACACTGAAAAATTTATACGGTATGATTCCGTTGATATCAAGTCAGTAAGAGGCAAAAATAAACGATGTCATCCAGTGATACATACACAGGTGGCAAAACAATAAAGAAAAGAAGGGATTAACCAAAAGTCAAGGGAAGGGCTGAGTTTTGATTGAAGAGAGGAACACGGGGAGCTGACGAGAGTACCTGCGGTCTTCTACCTTTTGACCTGTGCGGAGGTTATGCAAAGGTTTTGTAATTATTCATTAAACCACATGCGTGTTTTATGCACTTTTCTATATGTATGATGCATTTTATAATAAAAGGAGGAGAAAAGATGATAATGGACCAATGCTTTCAAAATTTTGGAAGGAACTTATTCCCCGTCTAGAATTCTATACCCATCAAAATTATAACTCAACTGTGAATGAAAGTAAAGACATTTTCAAACACGTGAAGCCTCAGAATACGTACCATGCACATTTTCTCAGGAAACTCTTTGAGGGAGGCCCGTCATCAAAATTAGCATGTAATCATAGAAAGAGGAAGACACCAGATTCGGAAAACAAAACCTCACATGAGAGTAAAGGGAAGCATAGGGACAATAGTAAATACCTTTATTCAGAAGCCCCAGGATTACTACTGTGCGCCAGGCATAGAGGGCATTCTGAGGGCTGTCATCACCCGATGCCTCATCCCATTGTGCAACCTTTTCAACCCCCAAAAGAGCACTGCAAGATGTGCTCCACCAAAAGAAGGGCGTAAACAGAAGGTGACAGGAGATCTAGAAAACAGGAAATCAAACCCAGGAAGAAAGAAAAAGTAAAGGGAAGTTCTATGTTGTACAATAGGCCCAGATAAGAGAATGCTAGCTCCTGGAAAAATATCCCCAAAAAAAAGGGCGGGGTGGATTATCTGATATGATTGACCTCATGGAGAACTGAGAACCATCTGGACATGTGGAAGAATCAGCAAAAGGTATGAACAAAACTAAAGAAGTGATAGAGCAAATATTAGCCTCCATAAGAAGAAAAAGAAAGAAAAGAAACAATCATAGTACATAATACTGCTCAGCTGAGAATATTTACATGTGCCAGCAGTTGTCAAAGTGTGGTCTACAGAGATCCCTTGAGGTCTCCTTTCAGGGAACCCATATGGGCAAAACTATTTTCATAATAATATAAGACATTTGTCTTTTTCACTGTGTTGACGTTTGCGCTGATGATATAAAAGTAATGATGGGTAAAACTGCTGGTGCCAGGACTTCCCTGGTGGCACAGTGGTTAAGAATCCGTCTGCCAATGCAGGGGACACGGGTTCGAGCCCTCGTCTGGGAAGATCCCACATGCCGTGGAGCGACTAAGCCCGTGTGCCACAACTACTAAGCCTGTGCTCTAGAGCTCACGTGCCACAACTACCGAGCCCACGTGCCACAACTACTGAAGCCCGTGCTCCGCAACAAGAGAAGCCACTGCAATGAGAAGCCCGTGCGAAGAAGAGTAGCCCCTGCTCGCCGCAACTAGAGAAAGCCTGCACGAAGCAACGAAGACCCAACGCAGCCAAAAATAAAATTAATTAATTAATTGAAAAAAAATTCTCTAAAAAAAAAACTGCTGAGGCCTTAGTACAAATCAAGGCAGTGGCACCAACTGTATTAGAGGTTGAATTCCTCAACACCTCATACTTGCAGTTTCAAAAGAAAAAGCCAGTTTCACTTAAGAGTGTCCTTGATGAAGCAGGAAAAGTTACCAAATTTATTAAATCCTAATCTGTGAGTATGTATCTTTACATCTCTTTAATATTCTATGTGATTAATGAGAAGTATACATGAAGTATTTCTGCTTAATGAATAATGGTAACTGACTGGAGGAAAAGCTCTTGCGTTTGAGTTTCAAGCTGAAATAGCTTTTTTTTTTTCTTTTTTTTTGGCTGTGTTGGGTCTTCCCTGCTGCGCACAGGCTTTCTCTAGTTGCGGTGTGCGGGCTTCTCATTGAAGTGGCTTCTCTTGTTGCGGAGCATGGGCTCTAGGCGTGGGCTTCAGTAGTTGCAGTGCGTGGGCTCAGTAGTTGTGGCTCGCGGGCTCTAGAGCGCAGGTTCAGTTGTCACGGCACATGAGCTTAGTTGCTCCGCGGCATGTGGGATCCTCCCGGACCAGGGATCGAAAGAGTGTCCCCTGTATTGGCATGAGGATTCTTAACCAACGTACCACCAGAGAAGTCCCACTTCTTTTTTTTTTTTTTTTAAAGAAGGAATAACAGAAAAAAACCATGGTTATTCAGGGTATCTGACAGACATTTTCTCAAAGATGAATAACGAGAGCCTATCATTTCAAGGAAAATAACTGATAGGATCTGTTGTTAATGATAATATTTGAGCTTTCAAGCAAAAATGAGAATTGTATCCATCAGCAGAAACTTGATAGCTTCCCAATACCGATGAGACTGGTGATGATATTAATAAATGGTATTTGGAAGATCTGCTTACCTCAGTTAACCAGTATTTTCCAAATGACCAATTCATAAATGTTAAGAAACCATGCATGGGTAAAAAACCCATTTGAAGTGCAAGGTAAATCAATGAGATTTTAATGTAATAGAACAGGAGAAGTTCACTGATGTGGCTTCAGACTCCACATTGCAATAACCTTTGAGTAACCGTCACTGATTGAGTTTTAGTGAAATACCAAAGAAGAAAGTCCACAATTATCTGCAAAGCTATTAAAATATTCCTACCTTTTTCAACCACATATTTGTGTGAGGCCATATTTTCTTCACATATTTCAACTAAGAAAACATATAACAGCAGATTGAATGCAAAGGCAAGCAGATATGATAACCCAGCTGCCTTCTATCAGGCTGGACATTCGATTTTCAAAAACGTAAATCAACTCTCATCTTCTCACTAAATTTTTTTGAAAATATAACTATTTTTCATTAAAATGTGTTACCTTAGCATATAAGTTTATTGTTATTATTTTACGTGATAAGTTTTTTTTTTAATTTCCTCAGGTTTAATCTCTAATACGATAAAAATATCCTAAGACACAGCCTACAGAAACAAAATCTGTTGGGGTTTGAAGAGGGGAAAGGGATTCTTTTTTCCCCCTTTGGGCATCATTTACTTTTTCACTGGCATAAATTAGAATCTGAAGGTGAAAAATTCAGAACCAAGAGTGCAGCACTGTGATAGGTTTTCAGACCTTCTGGCACAGGCATCGTTATTAATAAAAACCAAATATGGATTTAACCGAAATTGTTAAATATTATTCTGGGAAGGTGGAAGAGGATCAGAGTTCATCAAAATGGTTAATAAAAGACAGAAATGTGCTTGAAGCCACCTGCCAGCGATAAATACTTCAAAGATCTATGATGCTACGTATATCTCTAAGATAAGCCTTGTTTCATTCTAACGTGTTATGTCTGTCCTTCCTTACCGAACTGTGACGTCCTTAAAGCCAGAGATGCTTCTCCACCTCTAAATCCTCACAGCCTGTATCAGAGAGCAAGTACTGAACAATTATTTAACTCAATGAATGAATAAATGAATGAGATAATCCGATTCACAAAATTAGGTCATATTGCAGCAAACAGCTGTCTCTTCCATTCTTAAAACCTATACAGCAGTACTGGAAAGTCATGTTTGAAATGAGAATGAGAGATCATTCAATGTATTCTGAAGTCAGTGAGTCTGTGATTCCAAGACCACTCTTCATCATGTCAACACACTGGAAACCACATAGAGACAACATTTTTCTTACCTGTTATAACTCTTGTTCTAACAGAGTTAAGTGCAAGCACTCTGGAATTTCAACAACATAAAGATGTTTTTTTCCTTGCCCCTACTTTCCCCCCCTCATCTCCGTCGATTTCTATGACACTTTTGGTCCCTCTCGATGACACCTCACTTTTGTGCACCACCGCCCATCTTTAAGTTAGCACGACCAACAGAGGACCCTGACCAGTTCCCAGAACCTGCAGGGAAACTAGGGAAAAATAATCTTACCAATAGTATGATTCCCATAAAGGAGCTGCTCCAAAATTGCCGTTTTCCCCACAGATAACAAGCCACAAACCACAACCTTACAGCCCTTTCCCATCTTCCCTGAGGATATCACTGTGAAGAAAAGAGAAGATCTTTAAAACTGTGTACTGTTAAAAAAAAAAGAAAAAAGAAAAAAAATCAACCTTTCCTTTTTCTTTCTTTCTGTGTTTAAATTTAATTAGTAATACATACACAGGGGGAAACTGCAAGTATAAAAAGAAATGTAGAATACGGTACATCGTTCCAAACCCCATTCCTGGCTCCCATCCTCCCTTAATCAGTGTTACTAGTTTCCTATATATCTCTGCAGAGGTGACCTAGAGAAACATAAGAATACATGTATAGATATATGTTTGTTTTCAAACAGCATAAACACATCTTATACAAAGACTATTCCAATACTAATTAAGTCTATAGGAATCCAAACTGAATCCTAGATGAAGCAATCCTTGAAAGACTGCCTGCTCGTCAATGTTTACCTGGAAAAATAAGCATTTAAGTAAAAATTTAAGGAGGCATGAAGATAAAAATTTGGACAGAGAGTAGACATCATTTTTTAAAGAAGTATTAACACCATCAATGCAAACGTCAGTCTTTTCTCAAGAGAGTGAGAAACTGGATTTGGGGCTGTCTTAGTCGTACTTCTTTTTGCGTCACAGTTCTTCATGCTAGAAAAATTGCTCAGGCACTTTAAACTGAAAGAAAGGAAAACTCATTTCTCCTCGCTTCCTCACATACGCATGGAAGAGCAAGACTGGGTAACACTTTCTTGAATTTTCCTCAAAGTTTTTATCTTCCAGAAGGCAAGGTACCAGCAGACAAGACAGAAAGGGAAAGGGGGCTCATTAAATACAACAGAAAAACTTGGGAAGAGAAGTTAAAGTTCCACATTGTCTTTTGCCTCCTTTCCTCCAGTTCTCTCACCTAGAAATGTGAACATGGAATAGCTCTGACGAAAAAGCACGCCACAACGCCTTCAAGTCAGAAAACAACAAGAAAGTCCAAATGAGCATTCAAATAAAAGGGACGGTGGGCATCTTTCTGTATGTGTGTGCGCACGTGTGTCACATATCACTATTTTTTTTATCAACACCTAAAACATTAACAAATGAACTTCCTGTAAGTCTTCTCTACTCTGTTTTCCCAAAGTCTGTAAATTTTTTTTTATTGAGGTATAGCTGATTTCCAGTGTTATGTTAGTTTCAGGTGTACAACAGAGTCAAAAATTTTATAGATTATACTCCATGTATAGTTATTATAAAATATTGGCTATCTTCTCTGGGCTGTACAATATATCCTTGTAGCTTATTTATTTTATACATAGGAGTATAATCCCCTACCCCTACTTGCCCCTCCCCTCTCTCCCCCCACTGGTAACCACTAGTTTGTTCTATCTGAGTCTGTTTCTTTTTTGTTATATCCACTAGTTTGTTGTATTTTTTTTAATTCCACGTATAAATGATAACATACAATATTTGTCTTTTCTCTGACTTATTTCAATATGCATAATACCCTCCAGGTCCATCCACGTTGTTGCAAATAGCAAAATTTCATTCTTTTTTATGGCTGAGTAGTATTCCATTGTATACATTGATATCTTCTTTAACCATTCCTCTGTTGATGGACACTTAGGTTGCTTCCAGATCTTGGCTGCTGTAAATAGTGCTGCAACAAACATTGGGATGTAGGTATCTTTTCAAATTTGCATGTTTGTTTTCTTCGGATATATACCCAGGAGTGGAAATGCTCGATCATATGGTAGCTCTGTGTGTAGGTTTTTGAAGAACCTCCATATTGTTTTCCACAGTGGCTGCACCAGTTTACATTGCCACCAACAGTGCAAGGGGGTCCCCTTTCCTCCACATCCTTGCCTACGTTTGTTATGTGTAGACTTTTGGATGATAGCCACTCTAACAGGTGTGAGGTGATATCTCATTGTGGTTTTGATTTGCATTTCTCTAATGATGAACGACGTTGAGCATCTTTTCATGTGCCTGTTGGCCATCAGTGTGTCTTCTCTGAAAAAGTGTCTATTTAGGTCCGCCGCCCATTTTTAAATTGGGGTCTTTTTTATATTGAATTGTATGAGTTGTATTTTGGATATTAAGCCCTTAGCAGTCATATCATGTGCAAATATTTTCTCCCATTCAGTAGGTTGTCTTCATTTTGTTGATGGTTTTCTCTGCTGTGCAAAAGCTTTTAAGTTTAATTAGGTGCCATTTGTTTATTTTTGCTTTTGTTTCCTTTGCCTTAGGAAACAGATTCAAAAAAGTATTTCTAAGATTTATGTCAAAGAGTGTTCTGCCTATGTTTTCTTCAGGGAGTTTTATGTTTTTTGATCTTACCTTTTAGGTCTTTAATCCATTTTGAGTTTATTTTTGTGTATGGTGTTAGGGAAGGTTCTAATTTCATTCTTTTCCATGTAGCTGTCCAGTTTTCCCAGCACCAACTTACTGAAGAGGCTATCTTTTCTCCATTGTATATCCTTGCCTCCTTTGTTGTAGATTAGTTGTCAAAGTCCATAATTTCTTATGACCCAGATCAGCCATGACACTTATCTCCTGACATGAAAACAAATTTTTTTTTTTTTTTGGCTGTGTTGGGTCTTTGTTGCTGTGCATGGGCTTTCTCTAGTTGTAGGCAGTGGGGCTGCCCTTCATTGTGGTGCGTGGGCTTCTCATTGCGGCGGCTTCTCTTGTTGCGGAGCACAGGCTCTATCTGTGCGAGCTTCCGTAGTTGCGGCATGGGGGCTCAGTAGTTGTGGTGCGCAGGCTCTAGAGTGCAGGCTCAGTAGTTGTGGCATATGGGCTTAGTTGCTCCGCGGCATGTGGGATCTTCCCGGACCAGGGCTCAAACCCGTGTCCCCTGCACTGGCAGGTGGATTCTTAACCACTGCGCCACCAGGGAAGTCCCAAAGTGGATTTATTTAGAGAGAAACATGCTCCACAGACAATGTGGGCCATCTCAGAAGGCGAGAGCGGCCTTCGGACAAACACACTACACAGACAGGATGTGGGTCATCTCAGAAGGTGAGAAAGGCCCAAAGGGCTTTTAATAATATTAAAATTTAAAGGAAGTTGCCACCTAACTACATGAGAAGGGGATAAGAAAGTGATGGTGGCACGCAGAACAATTCTGTTGTCAGAAAAGGTTGCCGTTGGAATCTAAATTCTGATTTTTCTATTGTTATTTTCTATTGTTATTTCCCTTCCTCTGAAATAATATTAGGATCAGCAGATAAAGTCTGTTAAAAATATGTACTATTTTGTATTTGTGTTTGTATAAGATAAATTGGGGGATTTGTTTCAGTATTTCAGAGAAGACTTCAAGGGCAAACAGTAAAAGCAACTGAAAAGAGGCAACTCAAACACTAGGTAACGATTTTAAGGTTTTTTAGGATGGTGAGAGAAGGAAAGAAATAAAACAGATCTTGGTAAATATTTTATACCATCAAAAAGGAAACAAAGATGAGAGGGTAAGTGTGATTAATCAAAGCACACCTGAAGCATTCTAGCTTCCTAGTTGTCTTCAAGTGGGAAACAATAATACTACATAAACCTGAAGATTAGGACTTCCCTGGTGGTGCAGTGGTTAAGAATCCGCCTGCCAATGCAGGGGACACAGGTTTGAGTCCTGGTCCGGGAAGATGCCACATGCCGCAGGGCAACTAAGCCCGTGCACCACAACTGCTGAGCCCACGCACCACAACTACCGAAGCCCGTGTGCCTAGAGCTCATGCTCCGCAACGAGAAGCCACAGTAATGAGAAGCCCACGCACTGCAATGAAGAGTAGCCCCTGCTCTCGCCGCAACTAGAGTAAAAACTGAAGATTAGTGACCTGCTTTACCATCAATTAAAAAATATGAATTCTTGGGACTTCCCTGGAAGTCCAGTGGGTAAGACTTCACCTTATAATGCAGGGGATGAGGGTTCAATCCCTGATCAGGGAGCTAAGATCCCACATGCCTCTCAACCAAAACACCAAAACATAAAAACAGAAGCAATATTGTGACAAATTCAATAAAGACTTTAAAAATGGTCCACATCAAAAAATCTTTAAGAAAAAGAATTCTTGAGGTATAAACTACTGTGTATAAAATAAATAAGCTACAAGGCTACATTGTATAGCGGGCCTCTCACTGCTGTGGCCTCTCCCATTGCGGAGCACAGGCTCCGGATGCGCAGGCTCAGCGGCCATGGCTCACGGGCCCAGCCGTTTCACAGCATGTGGGATCCTCCCGGACCGGGGCACGAACCCGTGTCCCCTGCATCGGCAGGCGGACTCTCAACCACTGCACCACCAGGGAAGCCCCATAAAATTAATTTTTTCAAAGTATGTGTTCTGTAAAAAAAATTAATATCTAATGTAAGATTTTGCATGAATAACATTAAATACACATACAAAAACACTTTATTTTCCATATATGATCATGATGGCAGGGACTCACGTTACATATAAGAAAGTTGTTCTCACACATATATATTTAATATGTACAAAATAAAACCTACTAAAAGGTTAGTTCTATAAGCATTATAATATTTCATAATTCCCAAACACAATAAATAGGCACCATTCCCTTCCAAATATAAAGGGAGGTCATCTGCGGCACCCTGAAAGGGCAGGGAATCACATGAATAGATCCTGGGGGTGGCCACGCCTCCTACTAAACCCAGGTTTCCAGAGTTTGAAAGGCCCCAGAGTAGATGGATGACCTTTAAGGTCACTTCTAATACTGTAATGCTATGAGAGCGGAAACTACTTACCCGGAAACTGCATCAACACGAGGTTAATACAAAAAGCGGTAGCTACAGCTACCTGTATAGTCCCTACCCTAAGAAACTGCTGGACAATACAATTCAATCTGTGACCTATTAATCCCTGACAGTCTGATGTAAATGACTAAGAGTGTGTGCTTAACAGGCAAAATCCAATGCAGTCTAAATACATATTGCTTTGCTTTCCAGGCTAATCAATAATGTGTCTAGAGAATAAAAATTGATCTGATCCATTCTGCTGAAAACACTGAGCTTGGTCAGTATTCTCTTTGAAAAGCCATCAGAAAGAGCTACCCAGAATTGTCAGTACTTCTGTTCTTCCTCTGTTCTTCTAAGGAAATCATTCTAGTTTTAAAGTAAAACACAATTTTTTAATGCAAACTGAAAAATATTATCACCACAACACTGTTAACGTCATAAAGAGATGTCATAGATCTTATTATGCAAGCATTACAGGAAGAAAACCTCTACACTCCGTATTTGTTTATGTAAACATCATGGATTGTGTGCAATACTTTCACTTAGCCATAGATGAATACACTTTACATACATAAACACATATTAAAAGAGTTTTGCAAACAATACTGCCCAAAATGAAATACTATAAACAGATTCCAGTAACCATTCTTTTACTCATTCACTAAATATTTACTGAGAGATTATCCTAATGCCAGGCATTAGGGACAAACTAGGAGGCAAAATCAGAAATGATCCCTGCCCTCAGGAATCTCAAAATCAATTGAAAATACCAATCCAAATCTTGCAAAATTGCTAATTGAGAAACTGCAAACTGCAAATCAACAAACGAAACTGCAAAACCTAATTAAGAAATAGCAGTGATTAATCACATTGCCAGCATCTTCTTTCCAAATGATTATTCCACCTTTGTAGTCAATCGTTCTTGACTAATTTTCCTCATAACCCACATCTGATCCATCAATAAACCCTCTACCTTTCAAACACATCCAAGGCTGGACCACCTAGCACCTCCATCACTCATGAAGTAGTCCAAGGCACTATAGTCTCTCATCTGATCTCTCAAAGATGTCCACATCATAATCCCCCAAATCCATGAGTATTCTACTTTACATGGTAAAAAAAAAAAAGACTTTGTGGTTGTGACTAAATGAAGAACCTTGAGATGGGGAGATTATCCTGGATTATCTGAGTGGACTCAATGTAATCACAAGTGTCTTTATAAGGCGGAGACAAGAGTGGCAGAAGTGAGAGAGAGAGAGATTTGAAGATGCTATAATGCTGGCTTTGAAGATGAAGAGGCCAGAAACCAAGGGATGCAGGTGGCCTCCAGAAGCTGGAAAAGTTAAGGAAATGGAGTCTCCCCTAGCACCCCTAAAAGGAGCACAGCTCGACTGACAACTCGATATTAGCCTAGTGAGATTTCTGACCTACAGACCTATAAGACGATAAACGTGT